TATTATATGAAGTTCCTAACGTTTTGTACGTCGAACCTATTTTAGGTCCGACTTAGTACAAATACAAGCCTCCACTGTGAAACCACTACATAACAATAACTAACTTTATTTTTCAATAACATACATTATAAGGTGTTGAGCAACAAAACATTTCAGATACCATAAAATCTTTATTTATTATAACAGAATAAAAAAACATAAAAACCTATATACACAATTAAAAGCCTTCAAAATTACTATAATCCTCAGCATCTGATGCAAAGAACTTGTAGCTGATTGATATGGGTTTACGTGTTGTTAAGTTAGGAACACCTATGTTTATTCCTGCTACAATATTAAAAGGTCCACTACAAAAATATGGCGGACTCAAGTTGAGTCTATTTGAAGATGTAAAAGAAAACAAATTTTTTTGATATAGTTATATATACAAACAAGTATATGTATAAAAACAACAAAATTCACAATGGACATAGACATTAACATTTTGTTTGTGCGTGAACGTAAAGAGTTTGTATTTTGGTGAATGTGTGTGTGTGTGTGTGTGTGTGTGTGTGTGTGTGTGTGTGTGTGTGTGTGTGTGTGTGTGTGTATGTAGGCACCATGTATTTTTTTCAATTATTTTTTCATGCACATGAATACGACAGACAAGGTTTTTTTTATTTTTTTTTTATAAAATTTCTCATGCGATCTAATTTTTTTTTTTCGGATGATAAATTATATAAAAAAACTGTTCTTTTTATCTGAACGCTTTCGGCCATACATTTAGCCATTTTCAAGGATTAAATATTTTAGCTGTTAAATAAGAATTACTTTGTTGCATGTGCGTTTTATAAAATGCTTTCATTTTTCAAAACACGGTCAAGGTATTGTGTCCATGTTCAAAGTTAATATTATTAAGTGTTGTTTTTTATTCTTCTTATTATTAATAATGAAATATATTATCTATTTAAAAAAGTGATGTAAAGAAAAGAAATGACTGAATGAATTCGGCTAAATAAAAAAATAAATTATAAAATTTCAGCATTCCTATTTATATATATATATATATATATATATATATATATATATAATAACTATAATCTGTTTAAAAAGCCCTCGATATTTTGATTTTTTTTAATCATATCAATCTCGAAAAAAAGATTTTAAAAATTGTAAGAGCTACAAACATGAAAGTCTGTCGAAAAAATCGCACAGATGCAGGTTTGAAAGCCCAAAAAAAAACCCCGATACGAGTAAAATTAACAAATTTATTTCAATACAACCGTAGAGCAATCTCTTTTAGTTTGAGAACTTTTAGACAAACCTTTTTTATTTTAGACGGATCGTCAGGGAAAGCTGGATATCCAAATTTTTTAAAATAAACAAATCCGTTTAGGTGAAACTTTATTTTAAATGGGGGTTCACTTTTATATATATATATATATATATATATATATATATATATATATATATATATATATATATGTCATATAAATAGAGAGACTGTTTCGCTGTATAACAGCTGATCAGTGTTAGCTAGACGTCAGGTTGCCTCTAGCTAAGGATCGAAACCCGACTATATATATATGAAATAACGATATATGTTATTATATAGCAAGAACACTATTGGGAAAATTGTATGAAAAAGTAGAAAAATCTTACTTGTGACGTGTTCTGTCCTTCAGGACTTCATCGGACTAAATTTGTTATGTTGGTAGGATTACACATGCGCACAACAGAGGGATGCTGGGAATTTTATAATTTATTTTTTATTTGACCAATTTCATTTAGAGCCTTTTTCCTTTTCTTTACATCGCTTTTGTAAGCAGGTATTCCACACTGATATTAGAAGACCTGCCAGGAATGGTAAAATGTTGTAAGCGCCAGGGTGCAAATTTACTATTTTTATAGATGACCTTGTGATTAAGGCACTCTCTAGACATTTACGTTACAATTTAGGGAATTATTTCTCCTTTGATCAGAGTAGCATTTTTTATGTAAAAATTGTGGTCAGTCTTGTTACGGTGGGCAACCAACGCATTTGACATGTTATTTTGTAAAATGTCCCTTCTGTGTTCATATAATTTTTTTTTTTATTTAAATTCCTTGAGGTATCTCCTATGTATTTTTTGTGATAACTATTACAGGCAATGAAATAAATTCCTTCTTCAAGGTTTAGCAATTTCAAAAGAATTAATGCGTTTTATTTTTTTAATCCAACATATTTTTGCAGGCAGAATAAAATACTGTTCAAAATAAATGGAGCATCTACGTGTCCAATCAAATTAACATTTGAAGTAATAAAAATATTTCAGATTAAAAAATAAAATACATTAACTCTTTAGAAATATATATGAGATAATGA